ATTTTGTCTTGTACACCCACTTGACACCAATTGTTTTGTGTCCTATTGGAAGATCAGTCAACTCCCAAGTATTGTTTCGTTCAATGGCTACCATTTCTTCATCCATCGCCTTACGCCATTTTGATTCTTTGATAGCTTCTTCATAAGCTGTAGGATCACAATCAGCAAATAAGGCAAAATGTGTGAGTGGGTCCTCATCAGATTCATCAATTACCTCATAATCTATCATCCACGCTGGTCTTTTTCTAACTCGTTGAGGCCTTTGTTCTCCAACTTTTTCAACCACAGGTAGGCTTTGTGAATCATTCTGAGTTGCTGCCATAGGTTGTTGCCTTTTCTTATCATTCTCACCATCAAAATCCACTGGAATATGTTGTCTAACAACATTGTCACTCCATGGCCAGGTATTTTCTTCATCAAAGACAACATCACGATTGATTTCAATTTTCTTAGTGCTAGGATTGTATAGCTTATACGCTTTTGATTGATCACTAACACCAAGAAAAATGCATTTTTCTCACTTGTCATCTAGCTTTTTCCTCTTCTCTTCTAGAATATGGGCATAAGCAATACATCCAAAAATTCTGAAATGATCTACAGCTGGTCTTCGTCCGCTCCATGCTTCCTCTGGTGTCATATTTTGAACAACAAGAGTGGGACTTCTATTCAAAATATGAATGCTCCAGTTAACAGCTTCAGGCCAAAAAGTTTTCGAAATGCCACTCCTTATTAAAAGACTTCGCACCATATTCAATATAGTGCGATTCTTCCTCTCACAAACTCCATTTTGTTGAGGCGTATATGCTGCTGTAAGTTGCCTCTTAATTCCATGGGTCTCACAAAAATTTGCAAATTCATGTGAGTTGCATTCTCCACCACGATTAGTACGAAGAACTTTTATTGGACTACCAACTTCTTTCTCAACACGTACTTTATAATTTTTAAAGGCTACAAAAGCTTCAGATTTCTCCTGCAAAAAATACACCCATGTTTTTCGACTATAATCATCAATGAAGGTAATTATGTATCGTTTACCTCCATTAGAGGATGGATTAATTGGCCCACAAATGTCAGAATGAACTAGCTCCAATGGCTTCTTTGCTCTCCAAGATTTTCCTTGTGGAAATTGATTACGATGTTGTTTACTAACAATGCATTCTTCACAAACTTGAGATGGAGCAATAACTTGAGGAAGACCCGTCACCATGTTCTTTTGTTGTAGTATTCTCAATCCGCCAAAATTGAGATGCCCATAGTGAAAATGCCATAACCATGCGTTGTCTTTTAGTCTTGCAGATAAGCATGAATGAGTGATGTTTTGAAGATATAGTGGAAACATTCGATTTGCCGTCATGTTAACTTGAGCAATTAGGCCCAACTTTGCATCTTGTATACGACATACTCCCTCTTTGATAGAAATCTCATACCCTTTTTCTTGCAGCTGATCCACACTAAGTAAGTTGGCCTTCAAGTCTGGAACAAAAAGAACATTAGAGATGGTCTGAGTAGAATTTCCCTTGGTTTGGATTGACACCCTTCCTTTTCCCATAACTGACACTTTAGAATTGTCACCAAACTTCACATTATCACGAAATGACTCATCCAAATCAGAGAATGCAGACTTGTCTCCACACATATGATTGCTGCAGCCTGTGTCTAAGTACCACAAATTCTTGTTGGTTTCCTCCTTTGCATGACAAACCATTAATAAGGATACTTCTTCTTCCTTCTCTACAAGATTAGATATCTCTCCATGTTGTCTATTCAGATTAGTTTGGCATTCAGATTTGTAGTGGCCATACCGATGACATCTGTAGCACTCCACATTGAACTTGTCTGCTGATCTTGTTCTATAAGAAGTCGAGTGGTGTCCTCCTCGTCCTTTTCCTTTTCCTTGAAATTGATTATCTTGGTATTGGTTTCCTCGACCATTGTTTGCTCTACCTCTGCCTCTATTGCCTCGTCCTCCTCCTCTTTCGCTATATGCATCTCTGTTGCCTCGACCTCCTCTTCCTCTACCTCGATCTGCTGATTGATTCTGTGTCATAGCATTGTTGTTAGTTGAAGCTTTCAGAGCTTGCTCCTTATTGTCCTGCTGGATCAACTTGTGCTCATGAACCAGTAATGAACCTTGGAGTTCATCAATTAAGAGCTGATCAAGGTCCTTTGACTCTTCAATTGAACACACCACATAATTGAACTTTGGTGTCATCGATTGAAGTATTTTCTCGATTACTTTTACGTCATCTATCTTTTCACCCTGAATCCGCATTTTGTTGATCTTGAGAAAAAATCAGAAACCGACTCTCCCGGTTTCATAAGGAGTAATTCGAACTCTGTATGGAGTGCTTGGAGCTGCTGCCTCTTTGCTCTTGTTGTTCCTTGGTGCTTCTTCTTCATGGAATCCCAAATATGTTTAGAGGTGTCCTTGCAAAGAATGGTTTCCAGGATTGAGCGATCAATAGCTTGGAAAAGATAGTTCTTTGCTTTGAGATCCTTCAATCCCTGCCTATCAAGTTCAATTTTTTGCTGGTCTGTTAAGACTGTGCCTGCTGCTGGTTTTGCTACTCCATTCTCAACAATCTGCCAATACTCTTTAGACCTCAAGAAGTTCTCCATCAACATGCTCCAATGGTCATAATGACCATCAAAGCGTGGAATTGCAGGTTGCACAAAGTTTTCTGAAGCCATCGTTCTCTGCTACTGCAAAAAAAAAGAAAGGAACAAAGCTGCTGCTCTACTTCTATATCTCATGTACTCTCGTGTCTCACGTATTCTCCCTGTCTTTTGACTCACTAAATCTCTCATGTTTAAACTTACTCTTGGCAGTAGTGTCTCACGAACTCCCTCTCTCTTGGCTCACCCTCTCTCTCTCTTTTTTCTCACCTAGTTTTCACTCTTTGGCTCTGATACCACTGATAAAAAATAAACTTGTATATGTAAGTAGAGGAACTATTAAATGAAAAAGGAAATACTGGATTAACTTGACACATTATTCATAAATTAAGCAGACTATATATAGGCATTACAACTCAACGTTCTACCACCAAACTAGGCACTCATCTGAACATGCAAAACAGTATCCTCCTATAGACCAGGTAAAACTAAAGACCAGGTAAAACTAAAGACCAAGCTAATGACCATAACAAATCTTGACACGTACTAAAATCCATTAACAAAATCCTATAGACCCTGTTAATAACAATAAACCACATCTTGCAACAATAAAGGAAATAGAAGAAACAATTCCTAAAGACTAGGACAAGAATAACAGACCCACGTGATGACATTTTCAACAGTCAAATGGGGAAAATATGTCATGCCTGCTTCACTACCTGCTTCAACATCATGTACACCAAAGCAAATCTCCATCAATTTATTCATATCATTGTAATACTTGACAACCTATAATTGACTGAACTTGCTCATATGGATCCAAATCAACACAAAATCTCAACCCATCTGGGGTATTGCACCAGATCTGGCCAACTATAGCCCCCACCATCCCCAGTCTACCGCCTACCTCCAATGGATGTGTTGACTACATCTTCTTGGTTTTCGCCCCGTTTGCATCGGCAAACTTTGAGATCAGTCGATCTCGCGACTGCATCGCGACAAGTTCGCGGTGTCTTTCGGATTTTGGTGGTTGGTGTTGTCGCCACTTTGTTGGGTATTGCTGCTCGTTGCTTCGCGTCGTGCCCTCGTCTTCTCTTTGCATCTCCTATTGCTCGCCGGATGCCTTACCTAACTACTCCCCGATGCTGGAAAGTTCTTTCGCCGAAGGATTACAGACGAGAGTGATGTGGACAATAAGCACATTAATCGCAACTTTTGATTTGACCAGCTTGGGTTAGGGAGGGAGAGAGGTGCACAACTGCCAGTTAAGGAGAGAAATGGGAGGTTGTGGCAGAGGGAGTGAGAGAGAAGCGACGGAAGAGAAGAAGTAGTTTTAGAGAGACCGTGTTTGTGAGAGAATTTTGAGATGTGGAGGGTTATTTTAAAATTTTTATTTTTGTTTCAGATTTAATGTAGCTCAGATGACAATTTTACCTTTGAACCATTGCATTAAAAGATTTTTTTGTTAATTTAAGGGTGGTTATCTGGAATTTATGAAACCAGGGATGGGAACTTGCAATTTCGCTAAACCTTAGGTGGGAACATGTCGTTTACTTTAGTAGAAAACGTCATTTCCTTCCGACTTAAATAGAAAAACCTAACAACCCTTGAAAAATAAGGATTAGGCTCAGATTTATAAGACTAACGTGTGCTTACTACTCACTGAAAAAGGTCAAGCACAACGGGGGTTTTTAGTTTTTACTATTAACTAATAGAAGATACAATGAACCAAGCAAAAAAAAGTTAGTCTTATAAATTATTTATGGGTGATCAAGTGGTTCGATCGAGACTTTTGAGTGTATTACTCAACAATCCCTAAGTTCGATTCTTCCTTAGTTTTTAATAGGAATAGCCATTGAGACATTGAAGTTCTTACCCATCCTATAATTTCAGGGTCCTGAAAGATTAATTTAGGTATACGTAAGTCGGCCCTAAAACCTTTGGTCATTAAAAAAAAAAAAAAGGTCGGTCCTCTACTCCTCTTGAACAAAAAGGGATAATTCCTTAATGAAAGATTCAAACTAACAAACATAAAAAGAGTAAATAAAAATTTAATACATAGAAAATAACATTATTAAATCAAAGTCGTTTAATTTACGGTGTACCGTTTCCAAACATAAGCGCGCAACATAGGATATTTTCTCCATTTTGTAATGAGTTAAAAAAGAGCGCGCTAAATCTAATTCGTGTGATTGCTTACCAGACAAGCCATCTTCCCTCACAAAAAACACTCTGCAGTTTCAGAACTCAACATTATTCTACAGGTAATACTTATAACCCTAATTATTAAATCAAAATTTGAAATGGCTTCTGTAATTCTTGTTTGCTGCTTTGAATTGAAGGCCTATCAAACGTTTGAGTGAACTTCACGCTGAAACAAGAGAATGTCGTCGTCGCTGATGAGAAGAGAAATTGTTTGTTTGATACTTCAGTTCTTGCGTGAACACAACTACAATGACACTATTCACACGTAACTTTGTTCTTTTTCTTGCAATTTGATCCTTTTAGTTTTAATTGCTTCTTTTCTTGGACATTTGGTTGTGGTTTCTTTGTGTTTGGTTGCTTAGAAAAAAAATGAGGGAAATGAAAAAAAAACATAAAAATAAAAGAAAATGTTATCTTCAATTGTATGTTGTACTACGTCGTTTTGTCTTTAGCTTTTGATGTGATGTAATGCAATGACCTAAGAAAGAAAGGAAGAATGAAGAAGGGAAATCTTTTCGAAATTTGAAGGTAATATTCTATTGTTATTTATTTATTTTTTTTTATGAACCTTTAATGCCAAATAATAAATAATTCAAGAAGTGTGATTTATTTGTTTTTAAAAGTTTTAATATTATGCTTCATTCAGTTATTTTCAAGAGAAAGAAAAAAATGGATGATTGAGCTTAGCTACTTGCTAGTGTTATATTTTTTATAGTTCAAGAATATGATTTACTTTTCAAAAATTTTCTATGCTACCAAACTGGGTCACTTGTTAAATCTATAATTCTTTGTATGGGATTATTTTTTCTCTAATTTTTTGTGATCTTTTTTTATTTTTATTTTTATTTTTAATTTTTGATTGATTGAAGATTGGAAAAGGAGTCAGGAGTTTTCTTCAATATGACCTACTTTAAGGACATTGCGGCAAATGGTGAATTGGATGAGGTTGTGAAGTATTTGCCTGGCTTTACAAAATCCGATGACAATGAATACTCAAGACTCATGTTCTTTGAGATTCGTAAGCAGAAGTACCTTGAAGCACTAGATCGGTACCTTCATGTTTATCTAGTCCTTACTTGGGCATATTTGTTTAAATTGAAGTATAATATGAATGCATTGATCTTGATTTATTTGTAGAGGCGATATAGCGAAGGCTGTGGAAATTCTTAAGGAATTGAAACGCTTCTCCGAATTTGATGACACAACTGTCAAGGATCTTACGTATCTTTTGACTTTGGAAAACTTTAGGTATGCAAAAATTTCTTTCAAACTTTTCAAATTGATCTGTTCAATGCTTTTGGGTGTCTTATACAATTTATGGCCTAGTACAGTGTGTGGTGAAAAAATTGCATGGAAATGGACATGGACTACTATGCTTGAATATTGCAAATGGTTTGTGTCAGCTACTTTACTTAGCTGTAAGATAACAGTGGGGTTTCTCGAAGAATTTCATAGTTAATATGCTGGTCACGATTGATGATTGACTTCTCACGATTAAAAGCTGTACTTGTTGTATATCAAAAACTCCAAAAATGACAATTACCAAAAATTAAAAATAAAAAACATTCAGTGCTGGCATTAGATGCTCTAACTTATTGTTGTGCCCTCTCAGTCAAAACTGGAATGGGCAATCCTAGGCAGCTTGGTATGGCTATGCAGTTATTAATTTTTGGCAAGAACTAATGATTGAAAGTTTAGTCAATGAATGTTTAATATCTAAATAAGTAGGTTTTTCATAGAAAAGAAATTGCCAACATAACATAAGTAGGATGATTTCACTGTTCTAACGTTAGTGGAGATGTTTTCTTTTTGTACTCATGGTTATTCTAGGAAAGAACTGGAATGAGCACTTAATGCCACGGTCTTATTTTTCATCTTTAAGTGCAATAGTTATGCTATTAGACAAAGGCTTGAGGTAGAAGTGTTAAATCATGCATGTAGTTAAAAAGTAGCATTTTATGCATCTTCCTGTCCGTACAAGTTTAATGGAAGATTTTTCTACTTTCTTAATGTTTTGAAGCCTCACGAAGCAGTATTCAAGACAGGTAATGCTTGAAAAGTTAAATAACTGGGTGCTGAAAAACCCAGTCTTTCATGACAAACTTCAGTTTCCTAATCTAGATGATTCAAGGCTGACGACAGTAATCAATCAGAGGTATAGCTTGGACGAGGAATTAATTTGTTCTTCTGTTTGAAAGATGTATTACCAACTGAAATGCTTATTCTGTTGTTATTGTTGATCTGCAGTTTAAATTGGCAGCATTATATGTGCATTAGTCCAAAGCCTTACCCTGATATAAAAACCCTCTTTATGGACCATAGTTGCGAGCCACCTAATGTCAATTGTGATCCTTCTGCAGTAACTAAAAATATCGGGTTTTTCACCAAGGTAAATTTGATCTCCTAGGCTTTGTAACGTGAGGTGACCAACCCTAAATATTAACACAACAGAAATTCTGAATGTCCCTTACTTACCATTCAGGAACCTGTGATATTCACATCTGCTTCAAGTTCAAACACTAGAATTAATGTTGGGATTGCAGATGGAAGGGTGCAACTTTTTCCAGATGCCAGGCAGGTGAGCAGTGAAGCTGTTTTCTTGTGGTATTTTGATGCTAGAAATGTTGTAATTGCTTTTGGGTCTAACAATTTTATATTATTTTAGAATGGAGATACTCAATTTTTGCCATGTGTGAAATCAAGAGTCATCGATGAGTCACAGAAATATAAGATCTGGCGGCCAATTGTAATCAATCAATCGTCTGGACTTCGTGCCTTGCGACTTCAAGATAGTCTTTCACCAGAAAAGGTGTGTTTATGAGCTTATACAACTCTTCCTGAAATTAAACTTGGGTGATGCTGGTTTTGGTGTCAACTTTAGGGAATAAAGTGTTGGTACTATGACAAGCAATTGGTCATTTTATTTTTCCTAGGTCAAGTCATGTTTGGGGTCATGACATAGGAATTTTTTCTTGGTCCATTGCATCCTGCAATGCACTATATGCATGTGCTATTTGATCACAGGATTTTGTCATGTGATGCTTGCTCTTCCATGCAACATACTGGCAGTGTATACACATGCAAATAGAAAAAGAAAATGGATGTATGTAATTGTCTACCCTATACCATTTGTTTGTGTGTTGTTCAACCATATATATATTCCTGGTTGATATGCTTTTAGATCCGCTCTTAGAACTAAGTATGCTCTAGATTTTTTATGATTTCTGCGAGGGTTACCTTGGGGTAAAGTCCTAAAATAACTTCTAAAGTTTAACTTCCAAATTAAGAGCTTATATATGATTTCTAGTTTTTAATTATGATTTGACCTTCCACCCTCTATTTTACTAAAATTTTCATATCAATGATTTATCCTAGTTTCCTGGTGTTTTGCTGAATTTGCTAAAAGATTCTGGAAATATTCTAGTTTAGGTATGTTTCTCCTTAAACCAGCATTGGTTAGAGGTCCAAATGTTTAATTTGTACTAAACAGGGTCTTGGCCGGTCAACCTAAATTAGAATGTTATGAGAATTTTTTTCCAACATATCATTCAGTCTAGCTTTCTCTTCATCATGTTCAAAGTTTTAAGTGGAATTGATTTTCCCAAATTGAATTTTGTAAAACCATAGTCTAGCACATGAAATTTTCTGGTCCATGTAAGCAAGTTTTTCTGCTAAATATGAGGAACCTGGTTCATCATGGTTCTTTGCATTTGTGAGTCTGTTTTGTTATATCATCAGTTTAAATTAACGCTAGTATTCTCTTAAATTGTGTTTGTATACATCACTTGCTAATTCTCGTTGTCTTTATACTTGATGCAGGTTGTTAAGTTGATGTATACACATGCAGGATCTGCGATAATAGCATTGGCTAATAATGCCATGCACAAAGTATGGAAGTGGCAGAAAAATGAGAAAAATCTAAGTGGAAAGGTATATATTCTTCACTAAAAAGGCATGCTTTTCATCTCCTAGTTATTTTCATTGAGCTTCTGTTTCACCGAGCTTTTCCTAGTGCAGGCAACTAGTGCTGTGCCACCACAATTATGGCTGCCATCTAATGGCATAAAGATGAGCAATGACATCGAGAAGATAAACAAAGAAAATGCCCTTCCATGTTTTACTCTTACGAAAGATGATGCCCATCTTTTGTCAGCATCAGGGGGGATGGTTTCCTTATTCATGATGCAGTCGTTTAAGGTAGAATATACAGTAATTTGCTCAGCAATTTCCTGCTGTCTGTGTAGGAAGTTAATGTTTTTATTTGTGCAGCTAGTGGTGAAGTGCTGCCCCCCACCTCCTGCAGCAACTTGTCTTGCCTTCCATCCAAAGGACAATAACATTATTGCAATCGGCATGGATGACTCTTCAATTCTTGTCTATGATATCAAGTTTGCTAAGGTGTTTTTCCTTAACTTAGGCCTAATTTTGAGATTTAATGTTCAAGTCTGTATTAGATTTTTCAAATTTAACCATTTGAAAATATGATGTTAATGTATGCACATGTTAAAAACAAGCTAACCGATCACCAACATAAAGTTACTGGCCTTGCATTTTCTGTTGTTCTTAATGTGCTTGTATCATCTGGAGCTGATGCTCAGGTATGCTTTATATACAAAGGATCAAGAGTGCTACAAATGTATCTCTGTCTGTCTGTCTCTGTNTCGATGATATGAGCTCTAGATGAATTTGAGGCTAGATGAGAGGAAAGATGAATATGCTTTAGATGCTAATTAACGCGTTAGCATATCCTCGTATTCTGGTTGAGGAATGATGAACACATGCTTTAGATATTAAATAACACGTAAGCACGCCTCCCAATGATATGAGCTCTAGGTGAATTTGAGGCTAGATGATATGAAGTACTTAAGATGTTAAGAAAAGTCCGATCGGCTAGATGTTAAATGTTTTATATGCATTTAGTTGCATTACATGAGTTATAATGTTATTTACATCATGAGATGGTTTATACTCATGTTAGATGGTTTTAGATTTTATGTTATGTTTTGACATGTGATGTGTGTGCACTATGTTTACATACTTATTTGTATGTGTGCACATTGATGTTTATATAGCCATGGGATAAAATGATGAAAAACATATGAATTAGTAGGAAAAGGGAAGCACACCTAGATGTAAAAGATAAGTGGTGTATTAACAAATATGTTTAAATAAGGGCCAAATAGCACATTTAGAATGAAATGGATAATTCCTTACTGAGCGATTGGTACTCACCCTTTCATTGTTGATTGCTTTACAGGTAGACCAGAAGCGAAGGATGCTAGAGACAGTGGGGCTACACGTGAGGGGAGATGATTTATTGTCATCTTGATGTAAATGATAAATGTTTGTGAAACACCTTTGGAAGCTTCCACCTTATAATTATGTTTTGATTGTGTAATTTCCGGATAAATTCTTAAAGTTTCTAAATTATAAGTTTTGGATCCTGCGTGATATTTTATATGGATGTTTTGGATATTATTATTATTATCCTTACACAGATTTTTCTAAATACAACTCGTTCTCCAGACATGTATCCCCAGGATTCTCATTGAGGGATATTTAGAGGATACCTGACTGGAGGGGGGTTTTACATTTGGTATCAGAGCAAGTATATTGTTACTTTAAAAAAGGGGTGTTTTAAGATGTTTTCTACTAGGGAGTTAGGCATTTATGAGAGTTGATTATAGTATCCCTCATGTAAAGTTTCGCTGCTCTAGTTGTCCAATCGCTGTAAGTATGTTTACCTGATTTTATGTAAGGATTGATTAGATGATTAACGGTATATGTGTAACAGTGAAAGGGAATAAATATGAGGAAAACCAAGAAAACGGATCCAGGTCGCAGTGATGCTTCGAATGCACAAGATGCTCCAACTGCACCTGAAGCTTCTAACCCAATAGTTGCTACTTCAAGCGCTCCATGTTTAGATGTTGCAACATTGGAGCATATGATCCAGGAGACTGTTAATAGAGCTTTAAGGAGAACCCCACCAGAAAGTACAAGTACTCCGGTGACAACAGTGATGACCAATGTAGTATAAGTCAAGCAATAGGGACAAGTACCCTAGAAGCAATGGTTCTTCCAAAGTAGATTGAACCGATTTATGGCCTCTCAAGTAAACATCAGCCCCCAGAATTTAGCGGCACTAATGATCTAGTTGTAGTAGAACAATGGATAAAGTTGGTGGAGAAAGCTACTGCTGTATTTCCTATGATAGATCAAGAGAAGATCTGGTATGCTACATACCTATTGAGAGGAGATGCTATGACATGGTGGGAGCTTATGGAGCAGACTCAAGATACCACCAGTCTCACTTGGTCAGGGTTCAAGGAATTGTTTGAGAAGTAGTACCGGACAGCGGACATGATATCCTCTAAACTACAAGAGTTTATTAGTTTGCACCAAGGAAATATGACGGTCAAAAAGTATTCAATCAAGTTCAACTCCTTGGCTAAGTTTGCACCCACACTGCTCAGTACACCACAGACCCAATTAGAGAGATTTGTGGGTGGACTTCATCCCACTATCGTCACAGATGTTATGTCGGGTCATCAGCCCTCCCAAACATATAGTGAAGCACTCGCCAGAGCCATCAGAGCAGAGGTGTACTTAAGGAAAGAGACCAGATTACCTCTTTCCCCAACAGTGGCAAGTAGTCCTCTCCAAGTTGGCCAGTCTAGTAGTGCATAACAAGTTGTTGGCAAAGACGATAAGGGTAAAGGCAAGAAAGGAGTCCTACCTAAAGCCAACGGGAAGGACATGAAGAAAAAGGGCTAGCAGAGGGACCAAGTCATTCCCCATAGGGTGCTCCAATTCTATTTGTGAAAAAGAAGAATGGGTCTATGAGGATGTGTATAGATTACTGTGAACTGAATAAAGTAACGGTAAAAAATAAGTACCCATTGCTTAGGATAGATGATTTGTTTGACCAATTGAAAGGTTGCATCAGTGTTTTCTAAAATTGATCTAAGGTCAGGATACCATCAGGTTAGGTGGCTAAGGAAGATATACCGAAAAACGGTTTCCCAAACAAGGTATAGGCATTATGAATTTGTTGGATGCCATTCGGATTGACTAATGCACTGCAATTTTATGGACTTGATGAACCGAGTTTTTCATGATGTCCTTGACAAGTTCATAGTGGTATTTATTGATGATATCCTAGTTTATCCAAGACTTTAGAAGAAATGCCGAGCACTTGAGATTTGTGTACACAAGATTAAGAGAGAAACAACTGTATGCCAAATTTTCAAAACGTGAGTTTTGTTTGATCAGGTTACTTTTGGATCAGTGATCTCTAAAGATGGTGTATTAGTGGATCCTAGTAAAGTAAAGGCGGTGCTCGAGTAGCAGAGGCCAAAGACCGTGAAAGAGGTTAGAAGTTCTCTAGGCTTAGCAAGGTACTATAGGAATGTCGTGGAAGGCTTTGCAAAGATAGCCAGACCACTACACTCTCACCAAGAAAGAAGTACCATTTGAATGGACTGAGGCATACGAGCAAAGCTTTCAGGAGTTGAGGAAAAGATTAACTACAACTCCAATTCTTACATTGCTAGAAAGTAGGCATTGATTATGATATTTATGTGATGCCTCCCGCAATGGTTTAGGAGCAGTGTTGATGCAGCAAGGGAAAGTCATTGCTTATGCTCCAGACAATTGAAAGACTATGAGAGTAGATATCTTACCCATGACTTGGAATTAGCAATAGTGGTTTTTGCTTTAAAGAATAACGGCACTACTTGTATGGAGTGAAATGAAACATAACACTGACCATAAGAGTTTGAAGTATGTCTTCACTCAAAAATAGTTGAATAGAGACAAAGGAGATGGTTAGAATTGGTGATAGACTACGACTGCAACAATCAGATACCATCTAGGGAAGCTAATACAATAGCATATGCCTTAGTAGAAAAGTCTTTTATCTCAGATTAATACAGGGACAATTACAGCAGGAGATCCTCCAAGAAGGAATTGAAATTGTCATCAATAGAGGATGGCCCAAATGGAGATCAAACCCACTTTGGTGGAGGAGATCAAGATGAAACAGGGTAAAGATGGAACCTGTAAGATAATCTACCAACGGATAATAGAGGGTAAAGAGACAGACTTTAAAATAGTCAATGGGGCATGATGTTTAGAGTAGAATATGTGTACCTCAAGATGAGAACTAAGGAATAAACTTAGTGAGGCAACATACACTTTATACAGCCCCATCCTGGAGGTAAGATGTATCAAGATGTGAAGAAAGCTATAGTGGTAAGGTATAAAAAAAAAAAAAAAAAAAAAAACATTGCCGATTATGTTGCCAGATGTTTAACATGTCAACAAGTAAAGGCAGAGCATCAGAGACCGTCAAGATTACTAACCTTAGAGATTCTAACTGGAAATGGGAGGATATCTCAATGAACTTCATTGTAGGACTTCCTAAAATTCAACAAGGATATAATGCAATTGGGTGGTGGTTGACAGATGACCAAGACAACTCATTTCCTACCTATGACAAATAAGCTAGATTTATTCGATTGGGGCAATTATATGTCAGAGAGATTGTGAGATTACATGGAGTACCCAAGACGATTGTGTTAGAAAAGATACTAGGTTCATATCAGCTTTGGGTTGGAATGTAGAGAGCATTGGGTATAAAGTTAGCCTTCAGTATGGCTTATCATCCTCAAACTGATGGCCAAACTGAAAAGACTAACCAGGTGATTGAAGACATGCTTAAGCTTGTTGTAGGATCACAAGGCAAAATGGAGTGATGTACTTCCACTAAGAGAATTTGCCTATAACAACAACTACCAATCCACTATCAGATGGCCCCATTAGAAGCATTATATGGAAGAAGGTGCAAATCCCCTTTGTACTGGGATGATATTGGAGAAAAAAAGCTCATTGATCAAGCAGTTGGACCAGAGATGACCAGAAAATGATTATAAGAGGTTAAGCTTATTAGAGACAGAATGAAGCAAGCTCAAGATCGACAAAAAAGCTATGCCGACCTAAAAAGAAAAGAAGTGGAATTCCAAGTAGGCGACAAAGTTTTGTAAAAAGTGCGCCTTATAGACATATCATGAGATTTGGAAAGAAGGGCAAGCTCGCTCCACGTTACATTGGACCCTTTAAAGTATTGGAAAGGGTAGGCAAATTAGCTTATAGACTTAGAAAGAGTCTATAATATTTCCATATCTCTTTGTTGCATAAGTATGTTAGTGATCCTTCAATGTGCTTCAAATGGAGGAAGTGGAAATTACAGGATAATTTGGCTTATGAGGAATGCCCAGTTCAAATCCTTGATAGAAAGGTAAAAGATCTTAAAAACAAGCAAATTCCACTAGTTAAGTGCTTTGGAGGAATCACAAGACAGAAGAAGTATTAGGAAATGGAGCAAGATATGAGAAGTTGATACCCGAAGCTGTTTCTAATTTCAAGGACGAAATTATTGTAAGGGGGGAGGGAAAGTAATACCCAAGAGTGTCAAAGGTATGTTCCTAACTTAAAATGTCCTTTAGATCTTAATTTATGTTTAAAAGCATAAAATCTAACTAAGGGCAAAATAGTCAATTCATTGGAGCAGTATGAATCAATATATCAGAAAGGATTATGGGCAAAATGGTCATTTTGCCTATGGATAAGCATTGAAAAAGTCAAGGATGAGTGGCTTAATTGCATTTAATGGCATTAATTAAGTAATAATTATGTCTAGTGTGAAATGACCAAAATGCCCTATATGAAGAATTAAGGACTTATGAGTTATACAACTAAAATAATTGGGCCAATAGCATAATTTTGGAAAATAAATGAAATTTTCCTATAAATGAGATGAAATTCGTGCAAGCCAAGAGGAGAGAGCATTTCTTCAACATTTTTTATTTTCTCTCAAATCTTCCATGAAACAAGCTTTCTTTTCTAAGTTTTAAAGGAGTTTTGCATAATTTTCAAGGAGAACAAGATAGGAGCCTTGGATCTTCAATTTGAAGGGTTAAGGTAAGGATTAAAAACTTAGTTTTGATGTGATTTGAAGATTGAGGTAGATGTGAGGTATAGTTATATATGTAGGATTAAGGTGTAAAAGAAGACAAAGGCAAAGGATTGTTGGAGAAAGTCTTTAAAAAGGTAAGGAAGAACCTCCCTGAATTTAGGGATTATGCTAGGGTTTGTAGATTTTTATGAAACCTTAAAATAAGGCTTTAAGGCATAGAATTTGTTGATGGAAGTGTGGTGAACTCATTTATTCTACTTATTGCTTGAATTCATTATACATGAAGTTGTTGCTATTAGTTTTATGCATTGTTAGTTTGATGAAGAAATGAAGTGTGGATACTGATGTGGCAAAATTTGTAGTATTGGAGGCCACATGGTATTGAATGGTTGCTATTGGAGTGTTGATGTGTTGTTGCATTAGCTTACAATGTTATAGCAATAATGGATGATTATGGGAATGAGATTTACACTTCCTTAAGATGTTAAAACTATTAAGGGGGGGTTTATTTGATCCATAAGTGTCCTTTGGTTAATGTCAATAGGAATTTATGTGGCCTAGTTATATGAAAATTCGGATTTAGTGAGCTTAGGGGTTTTGTAACCATGCTTCAGTATTTCGACCATAACTTGAGTTATAAAATCGAAATGAGATGATTCTTAAAGCATTAGAAAGCTAAGACACAGACCTATAACTTTTATGTTTAGATAGCGGCCATTCGTTTAGAAATTGATGGAAAATGGCCTGAAGTATAAACCAGTTAGTAAGGTTAAGATTTAACATGATCCATTCTTATGTTATGAATTGATTATTAATGTATTATTGTAATTATGCCATGTACTAATGTTTACCATGTATAATGTACCCATTAGTTAAATGATCTTTGAAAGATATACATGGTCAAGGTGTCAATGCATGATTAATGAAATGGCATGAAGATGCAATGTAATACATGTTTTAAGATGATGTATGAGCAAGAGGTAAGGTAAATGGATTGATAATCCATAGATAAATTAAAAGTATTAAGCTCACCAAAATATGTATTACAGCTATAAGATGTTAGAGATGCATATAGACATGATGGAAAAAGCGTAAGCATATCCTCGTATCCCAGTTGAGGAAAGATAAATCAGCTTTAGATGTTAAATAACGCGTAAGCATGCCTCTCGATGATATGAGATCTAGATGAATTTGAGGCTAGATGGAGGAAAGATGAATATATACTTTAGATGCTAATAACGCGTTAGCATATCGTATTCTGGTTGAGGAATGATGAACACATGCTTTAGATGTTAATAACGCGTAAGCAAGCTCCCGATGATATGAGCTCTAGGTGAATTTGAGACTAGATGATATGAAGTACTTAAGA